ATCACGCTAGATATCACGATTCTCTCCCAGAAACTATAACTCTCCTCATCATAGTTGCACATGAGCTTTGTGGGTGTTGAACAAACACAAAGGCGCCTGAGCAGGCGTCTGCAATTGGGATTGGCTAGCCGCCCTGGTACACAGATATCCTCGAATACGATTGGCCAGCTGTTATATATATATATATATATATATATATATATATATATATATATATATATATATATATATATATATATATTAAAATTAAAATTTATAAATTATAAATTCATGAATCATTCATACAAAAAAAACAAATATAGAGGTTAATGATTTAAATGGCGAGAATACATCTTCGCAAACAATATAAATAAGATACACCAACCCCAAACCTGTATATGAATGATATGATCCCTGTTCATAAATTCCAGTTGCATAAGGTCTTTTAATTTTACAAGCTTTCGTCTGTTCCTACAGACATCCTCAGGTATTGTTTTTACTTCTCGGTAATAAGAGGACAACGAAAATAGAGATGAAATCCGAGAAAATGCTATGAGAAATGTGTTATTGTTTTGGAACGTGCGGATCATGAACATGTTTATTTTTATAATAATATATAAATATATATATATAAATAGTTGGATTGATGTGAGTTTGTAGTCCTGGGTTTCATGCTATTTGGCATTGTCAGACAAATTCGTTGGCTCAAATACTGATATTGAGCACTTTCCAATAAGTACTGCGCATATATAATATATAAATAATATATATAAAATTTGTGTATATATATATACACAAATTTTACACACACACACACACACACACACACACATATATATATATATATATATATATATATGGTAAAGATTTAATTATTCAAGTTAATGTTCTGATAATAAAATAAAACTACTTTCGCGAATATGTAGCACATGTTTGCTAAACACTGTTTTGAGTCGGCACTCAATGTGTGAATATTAACAGGTCTTGCAATATTTATCTTTTCTTTAAGCATTTCACTCCAAGCAAGGAGGAAGTGTCACTAGCGCGCAAGGGGTTACAGAGAGGGAAATTAAGAGTAAAGAAGGGTGTTTGAGGAAGAGAAGGACGGGGATCAGGATGAAGGCATCAGAAGATGTCGATTGACATTACATTTGAATATTTGTAGATTATAGCTATGTGGAAGGGATTTCCACTGTCGGGAAGTGCGAGAGAAAAAGCTGTTGGCGTAGAAATGGGGGTTATATTTAACTGTTTCGACATTGAAAGGGTGGGACCAAGATGTCAACCTAGTAGCACGCTTAAATTCATGCAGTTAGGGCGCCAGTGAAAATAGCTCGTCATGGCAGTTGCCCTGAAAATACTTGCAGAAGAAACAGGAAAGCCACAAAACGTCTTTCGGAAAGCGACTGTAGACGAGATGCCAGATCAGGTGCTATCACATTGCATATCCGTCTCTAGATTTTGTCGAGGACCTTGAGATGAACAGCTGGGGCACAAGACCATATCTGGCAGAAATATTGAATACAGGGGGGAATGGTTGATTTTAGATTTGAAGGATGGACTCAGACGAGAAAAACCTTCTGGCGCGACACAGAGAACTATCTTTCCTTGCAGAAGATGATGCTAATGATTGAATGTAGTTGTTTCACCTCAGATCAGTGGAAAACGTGAGACCAAGCAGGCGCAGAGAGACGCTCTCGTAGAGAAGCGCCCCAGCCATTCTGATAGGAGGCGAAGAGGGTTCTCTATGGTCGGTAAATGAGAGCAGTTTCATTTTGGAGGCATTAAAGTTTTCAAATCATTTTTTGCCCCAGTCACCCACAGACAAGTGATCCTTTTCGAGACCAACGGCCAGGTTAGTTTTGTCAGCGATACCAGATTTCCTATTGAAGCAGGAGTAAATATTTGTGTCGTTTGCGTAGATGCCTACTTGGGAACTGATGACATCAGGAAGATCGTTGATGAAGATCAGATACAGTGTACGACCCAGGATAGAGTCTTGGGGAACACCAGCGTTCGTATGAAAAAAGAAACGACTTTCATTTCACGATTTGACAGAAATGAGTGTATTAAGTCAAATAATCGTCCTGTAGTGCCGTATCCCTAAAGCTTACAAAGAAGGCCGGCATATCAAACCCTATGAAACGCTTTAGAGATATCTAGAACCACAGCTCGAGATTGTCCGTTACTGTCAATGATTGGTATACAAATTCTGTTATGGCCGTGAGCACGTCAACAGTAGACCGGGCAAAGCGGAAACCATATTGTCAGAGAGCAGATCAAAGGGATTTAAAGTACTTAACCACATCGGCGTGGATTAAAACCTCGAAGACTTTAACGAAGAGTGGGAGGAGACTGACAGGACGGTACTTAGATGAGTCAGAAGGGTCTTTAGAGGTCTTAAAAACAGGGACAACAGATGAGGATTTCCAACAGTCTGGAAAGCAAAAGTCACTGAAGCAATAGTTATATAGTTAAGAGAGAACGGGAGCCAGTTCAGGAGCACATTTATCAGCACTACGGTTGGTATCCTGACCCCGTCACTAGCGCTATGGAGGTAATTTACAGACGATGTCCTATCCCATTGATGGTGTTTTGCTCATCTCACTCAATAGAGCCTCAGGTCTAGGAGAGAACTCAAGTGTAGGTGCTCCGGATGATTTGAGCGTTGAGTTGGATGAGAATTTTCGAGCAAAGCATTCAGCCATATCAGCCGAGGAAGTCAGTGCCTCATATTGATTGAATAGAGGAGGTATTTGGATTTGCTGTTGTTCAGCACACCAATAATCTTTCGCACCAAAACTTGCGAGATGCTATACGTTGTTTCATTCTTTCAGCAAATAGTAACTTTGCTTCATTGAGAACACGTTTGAACTCATTACGGGCAAAGAGACGTCTGTTGCAATCAGAGATGTTGCTTCGGTACAGACGGAATAAGTGATAAGGACAATATCAGCTGAGTAAGCAGCTGAGAACCACGGATATGAGCGGGTTTAAACATTATATTTTCTTGTCGGTATGAAAGCGTCGACTGGGGCTTCGGGAGACATCAGATGAACATTTTTTTTTTGCACTTGGTAATTAAAAACCACATTCCAGGGGACGTCGCGAAGGAAATCACGGAGCGAGTCTCTTCGTTGATAACAGAAAGATATTCCGTCAGTACGAGGTTCTTTGCTGGAGGAGGAGTAGAAGGAGATGTTAACAGATACTACAGCATGATCAGAGTTGCCCAAGGGCAGAGCTGTGTGGCACGACAAGAGTCATGGTTTGAGGTTAAACAGAGATCGAGAAGGGAAACATCACCGTTAGGGTTACTGGGGAAATGCGTAGGAAAGTCAACCACTTACATGAGGTATTGAGTGATTGAAAAGTTAAGCGTTTGTATGCCAGCGATGTTACAGAGTGTTTAAACCACATGGTATGGTGGGCGTTAATGTCACCGAACACGAATGTTTTTGCAAACGTATAGAGAGAGATAACCTTGTCTATATTATAGGAAATGCTGTCGACTATATCACAGTCTTAGGAGGAGGAGGAAGAGCGATAGAAAAAGTAGAGATAACTTACAGAATTGAGAAAAGATAGACGGAGACACATATTTGAATGGTCTGGATATTCAAAGGAGAGAGTTTCCTAGCCAGAGGGCGATGATCACGGGCATAAACTCCCAGGCCTAAGGAGAGTCAGAAGACGGGTTAAAGTTGGTTTCGCAGAGAGTTAGTATAGAAGGAGACTTTTCAAAGTGGATGATTCCTTACTGCAGAATTTGATACGAATGCCACGGATGTTGGAAAAGGAATTGTTAACAGGTTTAGGTGATTTCTAGAGCTGGTTATGTTTTATTTTGATTGTTTATGATCATGTTGAGTTTTGTTAGTAATAAAAAGGCCTAAAGTAATAATAGCAGATGGTCATCGTATGTGACATAGAGAGAAAGGAGATGGCGCAGACTGCAACATAATGTGGCCTCAGGGTTGCCCACCAGAACTGCATGCAGGGACATCCTTCCATGCGCTACATGGCACTGCAAGCACCCCACTATTATGCGAATGTTGATCAGAGCAGCCGCTCAAGACCTTACGCAAGGGTTAGGACACCTAACTGCAAGTCGGGAACAAAAACCAGAAAACTGTCAACCCGGCGCCATCAGTATGAAGAGACGTTACCACAGACCGCACACATCACAAGAAATTCATGACAGTACTACTACTGAGGCCAGAGAAAAAGAAAAGATCTGGGAAGCCCTTCCTAAATAGAAAACAAAGGATGAACCTCTACTCCTGTTCACGAGAAGGGGAGGAGTATTGACCGGACGATAGGCAAGCCTATCTACTCCTATTACACCCCCGCACACAAAATCAACAAACAAAAAGACAAACAAGCAACATACAAGATGTGTGTGGAAAGAGTTGAAACTGAAATATAAAGTTTCGACTTAGTTTAAGCGAGCCGGGAAATTCTCATCCCGTTCATTATTTGCATGAGTCAGCAGAAAAAAAAATTAAAGAACTAATATTCAAACAATGTTTTCAAAAAGGTGGAAGACTTTAATTAAAAAAATATACATGGATATATTCTTTTACATTCTGTAAATAGATTTGTATTATTTAATTTTTGCGCCTTTGTAGTGACCGCCATTCCAAATTTTCCGATATGATATTTCGCTTTGCAATCAATTTTTTTCCGTTGCTTTCATATATACAGATGAATTAACATTATCTTTTTGAAATAGTGAAATGTAGAGATTTTTTTTCACTGGACCTTACAAGACATGTAATATCGTTTCCGATTAAGAAAGGCACACTCTGATTTCTGTTAATATTTCAATGATTATTTACACTTTCATCAGAATATTCTGGTTTTTAGCGTTTCTCATAATAAATTCATGTTTATATCACAACAATAATCCACTGATTGATATCGACAGACACGGTGAATGATTAACAAAATATTAGGATATTACGTTCGCAATTTTTTAAATCGATTATGTAAAATCAGATTTTTCCATTTATTTTCAGATCTATCTATCTATCTATCTATCTATCTATCTTTATCCGCGTCTATTTTTGATCTGCGTCTATTCATATCTATCTGTCAATTTATCTATTCTATGTCTATTTTTATTTTATATATATATATATATATATATATATATATATATATATATATATATCGATCCATCTAAGTCTATTTTTATCTAGATCTATTCATATCTATCTATCTATCTATCTATCTATCTATCTATCTATGTATTCTGTCACGCTAATTCAGATACGCATTTACTTGAATATACAAACTGGATTATATTTATGTCCGTATTGGCAGGAGTTGACTGTTGCACAAGTTCTGGAATGAATAACTTCACATATTCATTGCAGTTAAGAGGCAAGGGCAAAGTTGTTCGTTTTTTTTATGATTGATCATTAATAGATTTGCAAATGTCTACTGAGATCGAATAAATTGTATTTGCTCGTAACATGATGATTTCCCAATGGAATTGTCCGGCAATTGAAACCCAATAGAATCGCATCTAATATCACCCATGTCCTGACTCACAGACCCTCACAGGCTATTGGCTGCTACCAATTGCTTTAGGCATTTGCCTTTGAAGTTGGGGAATTAATTTTACATATTCTAACATTGCTTATTTGTACATTTGCTCTTCCCATTACAGATATATATTTGAACCGTGATGGACGCACACACACAGACACACACACAGACACACAGACACACATACACACACACACACATACATACATACATCCATATATATATATATATATATATATATATATATGTATTTATGTGAGTGTGTGTTTGGTGTGTGTGTGTGTGTGTGTTTCGTTAAAGACAACTGAGACTGAAGCTTTTTATTTTATTGTTCCTTGTGTTCGCACAAATATTTTATTTACTTGACACAATGTGTGTAAAAACTGCCCAAAAGTCTTGCATATCCGAGCTCTTTTCAGTTATTCTTTTAGCCATTAAGGACGATTTTGATTTTTTTTTTACCTGAATTTGTTTTTATCCATGTGTATGAATTTATATGTATGTTTCATTTTCCAAACACGTTCAGCACAGTGTGGCCGTGTTCTTAGTTAATTTTATTGAGTGTTGGCTTTTCCTTTTTTATTATTAGGGCTTCCATTATTTTTACTCTTCTTTACATTTGGATGAGGCTATTATACTTGAATTTTCTACTAGTATGTTCCGGATGGAGTTTGGTAGGTTTCTGTGTGTGTTTAAATGAGTCCTAATGGAGCTATGGTCGGGTAGGTGTACCTTAAATTTTACACACACACACACTTATACTTTCATTTTCGGTATTTTAAAATTATTAATTGTCTTGTAATCATTCCCCCCAGGCAAAGCGACAATGCCATAGGGACGAAGGAGGATAATGGTCGGGAAAGAGATTGAGAAGACATTAGTGTGGAGAAGTTATGAGAATGGATAATAAAGAAACAGGGTTCAGGAAGACAGAAGATGGCGATTGACGTTATATTTAAATATTTGAAGATTTTTATGGCATGAAGCAAGAAATTTAAAAAAAGTTCCAAGAGAAGTCCGAGAAAAGAAACTGTTTTAAATAGAAATGGCAAGTTCCGCAAAAACTGAAAACCTTTTGCAATATAGTAAAAAAAAGTCACTGGTTCAGAACAATTGCAGGAAAATATTTATAGAAAAGAGAAGTCGAGCTGTCAAAATACATTAAAACGTTTGATTTTTGTTCATCTCAAATCAGAAAAGATCATATATGGCGGTTTTGTATATGTATTCCGGTAAAATAGAGTAGTTCCAAATCAGAAAACTTTTTGTCGGTAAATATTTTTATTATTATGAAGGCAGGTGATGTTAACAATAACAACACACATATTTAACATGGAAGTTTATTTCTTTTCAACTTCAATTATTAAGACAATTTACAATCTTTTCCACCATATATATATATATATATATATATATATATATACTATTTATATTTACCAGTCACCTGTTTTCTCGGGACCGGCAAATAGCCTATTTGTTAAAAATACAACCTAACCGATTTATCTGTTGTCTTTCATCATAATAGAGAGTATGAAAAATATACAGAACAACTAAAAGGAGTTCTCAGAACCAAATTTTACACACACACACACACACACACATGCAACACACACACACACACATATATATATATATATATATATATAATTGGAATAAATTCTAAAGAGCCAGGAACTTTCATATCTGCTCGAAGCGTATCCAAACGTAAACAAATGACGTCACACACTACGATATATATATATATATATATATATATATATATATATATATACATAGATATGAACGTTCGAGGAACGTTTTTCAAAACGGTGAAATTTTTGTCTGTAATCTGGTATAGGACGTCAGGCTATATTGACGGTTCCGTGTAGGATACATGTTCACATTCCTATCGAGGGCATATATTTTCAAAATTACTTGTACGTTCATATATGGAATATCTTGGCATGTTGCTTGGTGCTTGTTTCCAACTATTGACCCGTTCCATCTATAATAGTCATAATCACTTGGTAAATTACTAAACTGCTATGACAGGGGTGATTCTTGAAATAATAATGCAACAAAAAATGTACTTAGAACAAAATGTATTGAAACAAGAAGGTGTACACAGTATTTACATATAGTCTTTTTTTAGATATTCGTGTAAGACCGTTCCCTGGAGAATGTGTTGAAGTCGCAGTCAGGCAGAAACTCTTGATTCTCCCTTTCCCGGTACCAACCATGTTTATATGGTCGGTACTCCACTATAAATCGGTGTCCTACCACAACAGAGAAACATCCGTTCTCTCGACATTTTTAGTCGGACAACAAAAACAACACGTAGATTGGCGGACAGAAAAATAGTTTTCATTATGCTTAGTAAATCGTGTACTCACATCTCGAAAACAAAGTTACGCGCAAATAGACGAAATATTTCTGTGGGTCAAGCAGATTTTAGGTTTACAGAATTGTCACATTTTTTCCGGAATGTTGGTATGAATTCTCTCCCTTAATAAATTCAATTTCGGCATTGAAATGTCTATCATTGCATATTGTCAAGTCTCGATTAACCAAGGTATATATGATCATATATTTCTCTTATATATATATATATATACACACATATATATATATATATCTACACACACACACACACACACACACACACACACACACAATATATATATATATTTGATAAAATGTAGTTTTAAAGTATGTGATATTTGTGAGTTAAAGGGCTCAGTATCAGAGATAAAGCACATGTAAATATAAAAATGGATACTGAGGTCAACACCCTGGATAAAGAGAAGAGAAAGCTTTGGCATTAAAATGGGAAACTATGAGAGGGCAAATACCTGTGAACTCATAGGTATAAATTTACGACATGAACTAAGTAAAATAATCGATACAAAATAATATAGGCCTGTACAGAGACGACGGACTCATAATCCGAGACGGTAACAGATAAAACACACAAAACCAGAAATATAATCATAAAAAATAACCTAAAAGAAGAAAGTTTTCTCGATGTCACATTCAGTCTAATTTACATATCAACCATAAAAAAATCTACTGGCACACCCACTTTATATACACACATATTCCAACCACCCAACATCAATAATCAATCAGAACCTACAATCACTTAACTGTAATTCTTCCAGTGAAACCATCTTCAAAGAAGTCAAGAAAGATAAAGAAACATCTCTAAAAGATAGTGGCTTTTCGGCAAAAGGGTATAGAAGCCAGTGAAATTTGGTTACCGGTGCACTGAAGTATATATTTCGATTAGAAAGGAAAGAACACAATTGTTTTCCTTTTCGTAAAAAGTGAAACACAAACAAAGGTTTGATACATGCAGTTTAAATTTCACACAAATGGTGCCATTGATGTATCCAGCATAATCATTGGGTCTTTCATGCGTACATCTTGCTCGAAAAAAAAAAATTCCACCGTCGTAAAAAGTACAGATGCATTTATTTTGGGATGAAAAGTTTCCCTTTATAGATATCCTATATCCGTAACTATATGCCGATTATTCTGGCTCTAGATTTGCATTTGTCTTGCAAAATGGTTTTTCATCCCAGTTTATATTCTTTTTGAATTATTCACACCCTCCTCGTTCTTTTTTTCTTATTTTCTCAGTTGCTTTGTGTTTTTGAATCGGTTGTAACGATTATTTCTGTTCTTTTTAATAACAGAATGAACTGCTTCAGTGTGGTATTTCCTCTCAAGACGTTGGCGATCATGGTTCTCAGATTTATATTAGTAACGTCTGTCTTCTATATAACTTTCTGCCATCCATTTATTCAAGCTCGTTAGACAGGATATTCGCCATGCTTTCATTCCACTCTTTTGATTTCACTATGTTCTGTGTCAAAACATCTAGACTTTCTTTCTTCATGATGTGTTCTAGAAATTTCTGTTACAGTTTTTTGTGCATATACTATAACTAGAAGATTTAGTTCAAATGACTTAACTACCTTTATAGTCTACCAATAGAAGGTTAACCAATCAGAAGCCGCAGAACATTGTATCCGTCGTGTATAAAGGCGGCCATTTTTGTTTATCCTACCGAATGACCAGTGCCAACTTGTCAGGCGAAGATGACTAAAGGAAGAACTACGCTCTGCTACGATATCCACTGCGAACCTAAAGTACGCTTTCCTACTGTCTCCAAAATATTCACTGCCAACCTCTGGATTCTATACTCGAAGACGACTGTCATGAATTTGTAACAATTTCAACTGTCTCTTTCTAATTCTAAGTATAAATGTACTTTTGTTGCCATTTCCCTTAAATCTGTCTTCTTATACAGATATTCCCTTCGTGGAATTCTCAGCATCCTTCTGTAAAAGAATATTTCTGTTGCCTCAAGTCTCTTCATTGTCCCTGAGATGATCCAACTAGTGTAGAGGATTACCGATATTATAGAACTGTTTTGTATCCTCTTTGTTTCCAACGAAATTCTCCTATTTCTAAATACATTACCTTAGATTTTAAAAAGCACCTTTCGCTACCTCGATACGCCTTCGGATTTCCATTTCACATTTTCTGTTCTCTTATAAAAGCACTTGCCAGATATTTAAAGTTTTGTATTTGCTTGGTTTTCCGTAGTTTGCTTTGGGCTCTTCTTTTCACTGACCACGCCATCTATTGTCTTTTTACAATTGGTTGTTAGATCTTTCTTTTGTTTTATTTTAGTACCTGCTGTAGGAGTTCGTGCACTTTACTTCTTGTTGTGTTTTTATATTGTTAAAATCTCAACAGAATAGACCTTTATGTATTGTTTGCTTTATGGGCTCTTCTTTTCACTGACCACGCCA